GGTAAGTTTTACGCAGCCAAGCTAAATTTGGCGAAAGTTCGCATCATTACAAACAATAAGCTTCCTAATTTCAGATGAAATTTTCTGAATTTTAGGAGATAGACGATAATAAATTGACAGGAATGAATAACAAAGATTCCTTAATATTGTCAAAATGTAAATAATATTGGGGGTTCTGTAGATTGGGCAAATTCACGACTACAACTGCCATTACTTTGCTTCAAGCGCCAAAGCAATTATCCCAGAAGCCATTGCAGTAGAAGCAGACGTTCCTGAGAATTCCTCGGTGCACTGGCGGCGACCTATTGTGGTTATCTATGGATCAGATGAAAATTGTGAGATGATGTAAACCATGAACCTCAATAGAGTGAGAAAAACTATATATTATGCCATAAAAACTTAGGGTTTAACTTTCTATTTCTGTTTGGTATTGCAGTACAGAGATAGTGCTGCTTGCCCGTGCCACGCTCTCTCGAGATATCCAAAACCAGCTGAAAATCATTTTTTTGCCAGCATTAACGAATCTACTAGCCTAAGCTGAAACAAAAGGTTGGTGTCTGTACCTCTTATGAGAAGTTATACCAAGGGCTACTTACCTGTGAATGCTAAGCGAGAACTGAAATTTCTTATGGGTAAACGTAGCCCAACAAAAGAAAACAAAACAAAACAAAAAAAAAACAAAAACAAAAAACACAAAACAAACAAACAAAAAAAACATTAATAAAACAACAACCATGCAATGGTCATGAAAGCCCTCCGTCGCAAATCTTCAATCTTCAATCTCGCCTACACTTTTTCCCAACTCACTTAAATGCTTCTAGACAATGATCTAGGCTACAAATAAAGAATATTTTTAATATAGTGCAGCCAACTGATAGTTTCTAATGAAATAATTTAAAAATAGCTCACCATAGGGGCTTTATCCTTTCCATTTGTAAACATGTCTTGTCCGTACGTCACAGCCATGATGGCTGCACACTGCTCAGTGTATGCTGGTACCGAGCCATCCCAGTTCACGGCAGAGATGGCGATTGTGTAAATGCTGTTGACGTATCCACTGAATGCGCAACTGTCGCCTGGGATTCCACCATTTCCAGCCGCGAAAACAAAGATAGATCCTTTGTTGTTGCGACCCTTAATAAGATAACAATTCATTAGAGGGCGACTCTGAATTAGGTTTAGATATTATTTTCTCTTTTAAACCTAGTTAACATGGGCCTTTGTTTGTTTGTTTTTTTTTTTTGTTCCTGGGCCTGGGGGAAGAACGAGCTCTTTGAACCCAAAACCGCATGTATTTTCACATTTACTCACTCCTTATTGGTCAAACCTATATGGCATGAATAGCATGTAAAGCATATTAACAACTTTAGAAATAACATGTCAATCATAACGGTATACCCCGTCTTAATGACTTAACATACTAGTTACATTTACAACTGTAAAGATTTTATCGCCAAATCAGTTATCTTATTAAGCCATGAATCTTCACTTAAAAAGCAAAAACAAAACAAAAAAACCACTTCATTTCGATCACATGACCAAACAGTCTCTCCAAATTGTTTCCTGGTAATTGTTGAGAATCACAAAGTTTGACAACTACGCCCCCCGGAAGGAGGCAACAGGTTTAAAAGAGTGCTGTTGAGCATATAGGGCTGGGTGACACATACCAGTCGTGTTCCTTGTTCCAGAACCTTCGTCAATAGAGGGCCAGGTCCCTCTACTTGCCAACCCATGTCCCCAGGCCCCCAGCTGTTTGAGTAGATGTCAATTAAGTTCTTTTTATGGCTTAGTGCCCTTGCCTCTAATTGGTCGGTTGATTTGATGTTGTCGTCGTATATTCGAATACCTATCGAATGAAAATGACAAAGGTATTGGCAATTACAGTTTGGAGGTTTAATTACTCGAAAAGGTTCTTATACTACTGATCAAGGCTCTTTCCAAGTTGTAGCGAGGCTTCTTCTGTCGATTTCCTGGGATGATGNTTTTTTGTTCCTGGGCCTGGGGGAAGAACGAGCTCTTTGAACCCAAAACCGCATGTATTTTCAAATTTACTCACTCCTTATATTGGTCAAACCTATAGGGCATGAATAGTATGTAAAGCATATTAACAACGTTAGAAATAACATGTCAATCATAACGGTATACCACGTCTTAATGACTTTACATACTAGTTACATTTACAACTGTAAAGATTTTATCGCCAAATCAGTTATCTTATTAAGCCAAGAATCTTCACTTAATAAGCGAAAACAAAACAAAAGAAGAAACCACTTCATTTCGATCACATGACCAAACTGTCTCTCCAAATTGTTTCCTGGTAATTGTTGAGAATCACAAAGTTTGACAACTACGCCCCCCGGAAGGAGGCAACAGGTTTAAAAGAGTGCTGTTGAGCATATAGGGCTGGGTGACACATACCAGTCGTGTTCCTTGTTCCAGAACCTTCGTCAATAGAGGGCCAGGTCCCTCTACTTGCCAACCCATGTCCCCAGGCCCCCAGCTGTTTGAGTAGATGTCAATTAAGTTCTTTTTATGGCTTAGTGCCCTTGCCTCTAATTGGTCGGTTGATTTGATGTTGTCGTCGTATATTCGAATACCTATCGAATGAAAATGACAAAGGTATTGGCAATTACAGTTTGGAGGTTTAATTACTCGAAAAGGTTCTTATACTACTGATCAAGGCTCTTTCCAAGTTGTAGCGAGGCTTCTTCTGTCGATTTCCTGGGATGATGCATGTATTGAAAATATTCGTTTATTTCAGTTATCACGGTGTGCCCAATTAACGCGACAGTGATAAATACCTGGACACTTGAAGTGACTTATTTCTTTCATTTTATGAAAATTTTTGAAGTCGCCTGAGGGCTTCTGAAGATGTTCGAAAGTTATTGGAAAGTGAGCAGGAATTCCTGGTATTTTGCGGAAGCAAAGTTTACAGGAGATCATGATATGCCTTGAGGTCACTTATTATATGTAACGAAACTTGCATAATTGCATAATTCATCGTAAAGGTAAGGTCGACAGACGTTTAGCATTGAAAGAGTCGGTGCGAAACGAGGAAGAAGTCCTTACTTGCAATTTGCGCATCAAACGCAATACCATCGCCACAGTTGTTGTTTTTTCCTCCAGCAATGATTCCTGCACAACTTGTACCATGGCTAAAGTTATTTGATAACAAAAAAGAACCTATTAAAACTTTGAAGGTATTAGAATTAAATTATGAGAATATTTAATCCTTGACCAATGGGGAAGCCCGATTCGACTCCTACACATATCCGGGAATCATTGTAATAGTAAATATCTAGAACAGACGAAACAACACATAACCTACCTCCCAGGGCTATAAGACCTACTTATATTCCGGTCCCTCAAAAAGTCATAACTCGAAGATACGTCCTGTTAGGAGAAAATCAACAATTCCACCAATAGCCTCCGATAAGACATTTCCCATTTCCAACCGTTGGGACAACGGAAATGTCTAGGCGCAGGCTAACCTGAAAACAATTTTATTTATACTTACAAACAAAAATCAGGTTTTTAATACAAGAACGCAATCATCGATCCTTTGCTAATTGGATAAAAAATAAAAATAAAATGCATATCTG